CAGGAGACAGCTCTATTACTATAGACAGCTCTGGACAGTGTCCAATATTTAAACAATAGTACTCGTAGTTTACCTTCCCACCAGTGTCCAGTATTTAAATAAATCTAAAATTTATTTATTCAAAAATAAATTGTTCCTCAGAAGTGAATTTAACCACGAAGAAAGTAGAAACGAACTTGTACAAACGTTTAACACATTTAGACCGTGGAACTGGAGAGTTCATTAAATTGGAATAGACGGGCACCTGTTTCACGCACCATGTTGCGTAATACACCTTCATTCTCCTTGGTGAAATCAATCGCTAAAAACGTGCAGACAGTTCGATAAGATGAATTTCATAATGAATTTAAAATTACTTTAGAAGTTTAGAGCTGAACTCTTGCACAATTCCCAATGGTTTAAACCCCATTTGGAATTGCGCATGCCATAATGAAGTTCATTTAATCTCAGCTTCTTTTTTTAAAAGTCATTTTTAAAACCTAATATGGTGAGTCCGACGTGCAAGATGGACATTGAAAATGAAACGAAGGTGTAACATAATCTAATCTGGAAATGGAACACGTAGAAGTTAACTATTTTTTATTCATAAGCTGACAAAGCTCGATGAGATGAACGGAACTTCATAATGAATTTAAAATTGCTTTCAGAATTGAACCCATGCTCAATTCCAGATGATTTGAAAAAGAAGAAATTTGTACTTAATATGGTGATTTAGACGTGCAAGATGGAAATTGAAACGAAGGTGGAACATAATCTGTATTGAATGGAACACGTAGAACAAGCAGACAGATTATAGTAGGTGCTTTACGTACTTGCGCTAGGGAGGTAGCGAAGTTTTGCTGCTTCTGTTTGATCAAATCAGAGTATATTTTCCGGTAAGCCTGCACCTCGTTCTGTAGCTTCTGTGGTACAATTGTCATCATATTGATATAAAGAAGAATCTAACTTAAAAATAATAGTTTCTATGTAATATATAAGTAGAACTCACGAACAGAAATCTGTGAAGCTTAAAGATTATCCTTAAGCGATAACGGCTATCGCTCGTGCACGCCGGGAACTACCATGAGCCCAAAGGATATAGTTGGAGGTACCCATGATTGATTCTGTATGACTATGACGATGGAATGTTCTTTTTTGGAATAAGGGCTGTGGTGGCAGGTAAAAAAAAGGTTGACTGCGGATTCAAACGGAGTTTATAATGATGGTGGGGTAGGTCCAAAGTTCACTTGAGATGGTACTGAAATTGCTACCTCCGCAGTTTGCTGCAATAAATGGTACAATACGGCTCATGATAGCACTTATAATGCGTGCCACACATTGCTGCAGACGATCATGGTGCCGGGGAGGTGAAATTGTACCACCCGGAACATTTAAACTTAATTCCTTGGCTACACGATGACTTATATTTTCTATAATTAATTTAGTGAATAATGAACTTTTTTCATTAGTGAAAATTGTGAAACAAAAAAGAAATGAAATGAAGATTTACAGCTTTTGCACCGTGTAACTGAAAAATATAATACAGAATTATATAATGCGATCTTAGCAATTGACATGGTAATTCTCAGTACATAATACAAAATATTTGGAATGACCAGTGTCACCTGTGTCACTAGTCACTAGTAGTGAGTTACAAAACGTACTACCCTGGAAGCAACGATATTCGAATGGTTAAAAAAAGCAAGGAACGGACGTTTTTAACGGCTAAAAGGAAATATACGCAAATATATATATATATTATATATTTATTTTTAGAACGGTCGGAACAATAAAAGGGATTTCCTTACAGTGCACTGTCAGTGTCTCCTTAGGTCAGGACTTTTCATTTGAAGCCACGGCACGTCAATAGTGGTGTATAAATGAACCGTTCAGCTATTCACCATGACGAGGCTGGCTTTGTTTAGCCTAGTTTCGGGATTGACGTAGTTACTATTGTTTATCTTTCAAAAGGAATTGTCCGTTTGATAGATTGCCCAATGTTGGAGCTGTTGCAAAAACCTTTTCCGTTTGATAGATTGCACAGTATAACGAACAAACCTTTGTTTTAATAATTTGGAGGTAGAGGGGAAACTGCAGAAAACTAAAAAGTGTTATTCGGCGATGTAAAAACCACAAACTTACACTAGTACGAACTCTTCATCACGAACCCTCCCTCACAATAACGTAAGCAAACTAAGTGACGATACCAAACTCGGTAACTTAAAAGCGGAACATTGAGCTGCACAGACTCAAGGTCCCTCCCTCCCTCCCTCCCTCCCTCCCTCAAGGGTATTGTTTCATAATCTGTTGTTTCATTGGCAGAGACTGGACGGTCATTGGCAGAGACTGGACGGTTCCAGCGATCCTTTCTCTGTCGGAACAGTAAGCCTTGTTATTGCGATAATTGCTATTATTGACGCACAACAATAAGAAAACAATTACAAAGTTTAATCCACACTACACCATTGAACTGGTTGGCAATATTATTACTGGCAGCTTGTTATTGTTTGCTATATTTTCTATGTAATAAAATAATAACCCTCTACTACTACTAATTACTAAAGCTCGTGATGTGTGGCTTGGGCGTGACTTGTTGGTTAAATTGTTGGAATGTTTTTATGAACCAGTCGATAGTTAACTTTTAGATAGTTAACTAGTCGCAGGTAGTTAACTTTTGTTATCCTTTTAATTGCATTGGCTCGTTTACAGCAATTTGAAAACTTTTGAACAATGAACTTCTTTGTTGAACAATTGAAATAGGCGAACAAGGACATATTTCTATTTTAATGAGTTTTGAAGATAACCTTATGACTCCCGACTGTATATTTACATGATATAGTAAGCTTTCCAATAGTTGTAAACAAAAACAAAGAAAAAGTCAAAGTAATTAGCCGTTGCTCATTGCAAACGTCTGTATCTAGAATATACAATTACTAAAAGTAGTCCCCATATTGTGACAGAAAGAGTGCATTGTGTAGTGTCCCCACCCTTCCTTTGTGCTGTGGATGCTGGAACATGGTCGAAACAACAGCGCTACATAACCGTGTATAATATTATGAACGATATACTCAAGACATATTATGTCAATGTGTAAATTGTGTATATTCAATATTTTTTGTTGCGGTTAATGGCTAATGGCTAAGGTAAGACTGTAAGTTTTTAAAGAACAGTGCTCGTTATTTTAGTTAACTGTTAAGAACATGAAAATTTGTTCCAATTTTCGAAATAAAGGACTTCCAAAAGTTAAAACCGTTAAAGTAGTTAAAGTAAAAGACATGGAATCACAAAACTATCATTGGCAATTATTATAGTTATTAATAGTATAACTTATGCTATACTGAGTAGTGAGATATGGAAATTACCAATATCCGCTTCAGAAAGAAGGTCAACAAGAGGTGGACCTTCTTATCCGATGGGACACTTAACAAAGGTCAGATTGACTATATCTTCATACGGCGGAAGTGGAAAAACTCTTTAAAGAACACTGAAGTTTACAACACTTTTCAGTCGTTGGGATCTGATCACAGAGTTGTAATGTGTAAGATCAAAGTTAGCTTTAGGAAAGGATACAGGCCTCCGAAAAAAGTTAACTATGATTATAGTGCCCTGAAGTCGGATGGTGAGCTTCAAAAAAAGTATGCAATTGACGTTCGGAATAGGTTCTCTGGCCTGGTAGAGGAGGATGATGGGGCCACTGAAAGCTACGGGAAGCTTGTGGTTGCTATTGAGGCGGCAAACAAGAGCCTTCTGCCAAAGAAGACTCGACAAAAGCAGATTGACCCCTCAAGTGACCCAAGAGTGGACAGTGCAAGGAGGGGACTTTTCTTGGCCAAGGACCAATACCATCAGGAGCCTTGCGAGGAGAAGAGAGAGGAAGTCGCCACTAAAAAGGATTTGTTAAAGGCCTGCTACAAAGAGGTAGAGGAGGAGATCCTGAAAGGAAAGATCAGGAAAGTTGAGGATACTGCTGATCGTTGTAAGAACAAGGAAAGCTGGAAGCTTGTCAACGATATTTCAGGGAGGACAAATCCCAGCTGTGGACTCGTTGAAGGGGGCAGCTCAACAGAACGTCTCGAGAACTGGAGGAAGCACTTCTCTGGATTACTTGGACAGCCACCCACAGTCCCTGACAATAGTATTCCGATCAGGAATATACACCCTCCACTGAATATAGAGGATGGCCCGTTCACCATTGAGGAACTACGTCTTGCCAAAAAGCAGATAGTAGAAGGTAAAGCTTATGGTGATGATGGTATCTCACCTGAAGTGATGAAGAGGGTGGACATTGATGACGTCATCCTGAAGTTCTGCAACGATGCACTATGTGATGGTCTCATGCCCGATCAATGGAAGCTCAGTAATATTGTTCCTGTGCCAAAGAAAGGGGACCTCACTAAGACCGACAACTACAGAGGAATATCTCTGACATCGATAGTCAGTAAAACTCTGAACAAAATGTTGCTGAACAGGATGAAGCCAAGTCTTGAGGAAGTTTTAAGGGACAACCAGAATGGCTTTAGACCTGGGCGCTCTACAACATCGCACATTCTTGCTCTACGAAGAATTATGGAGGGTGCTAGAGCCAAAAACCTAAAGGCCACCATGGTTTTCATTGATTTCAAGAAGGCGTTCGATAGTGTGCATAGAGGCTTGCTCATGAAGATATTGAAAGCATATGGCATACCAGAAGCCATAGTGCGGCTCATTGAGGGTATATATACGAGCACAAAGGCTAAAGTAGTTACAGCTGATGGTATAACAGAGATTTTTGATGAAGATCCAAGAGCGCAGGATGCGACTAGCAGGCCATATCCACCGGCACCCAGAACTAGTCGCAAACCGCTTGCTACTCTGGGAACCAACTCATGGGGTGCGGAGTAGGGGGAGACCAGCCATGACTTATGTTGACAGCCTACGAGCTGACACGGGTCTCAACGACACTGGAGAAATGGGCGGACTTATGGCGGATAGAGTTTTATGGAGACAGCGCATCAATACTCGGACGCTGAAGCCGCCTTAAGTCAAGTCAAGTAAGTCAGTAGTGAGAAGTGAGTAGTGACCTTTCTAACCATCTCCTTGTCTCTCTCAATCTGAGAGGACAACAGAAATGAGTACTGAGAAATGAGTACTGACCTTTCTAACCATCTCCTTGTCTCTCTCAATCTGAGAGGACAACAGAAATGAGTACTGACCTTTCTAACCATATCTTTGTCTCTCTCAATCTGAGATGACAACAGAAATGAGTACTGAGAAATGAGTACTGACCTTTCTAACCATCTCCTTGTCTCTCTCAATCTGAGAGGACAACAGAAATGAGTACTGAGAAATGAGTACTGACCTTTCTAACCATCTCCTTGTCTCTCTCTATCTGAGATGACAACAGCTGATACTTCTTTCTCTCTAGACTGTTTCTCAACAGAACTGTTCTCAGCCGTCCTGGAATGTTTTCTTGTGGTATTAGGTAATCCGGTAATGTAAGAGCATCCTGTACCCAGTGTCAAACATTAAACCATACAACAAATGCTATTTTCCATGAAATTAGTGAGACGTTATTGTGTTATATAAATTGGGTGATTCCGCTATTTTATGTCTATTGAATTCATAACAGATCTTTTGAACATGATTGTCTCCGATAATTATTGATATCGCGATTAAACAGCTAAAAGATTAGGATTATGATGATATCCTCCCTCACCTTGGTGAATTTGTAGGACCCTGGTCCCTGCATGGAAGTGCAATTGAATTTGAAAGGAAGGGAGGAAAGAAAACTAAAACTAGTGGCAAAGTTCTCAATTACGTGTAATCTGAATGGAAATTATGGATTTTTAAAAAGTTGCTGAATGTTGTTAAATGGATGTGATGACTGATTAAAACATCTCATATACCTGAGTTAAACCCACCAGCAAGTTCTTGCATGGAGAGAGTGCGTTTATTCCGTGATCTCCAGTGGTTGTTGAACATGGCCGCAAAATACCGAGAACACGTGAGCAAAAAGGACGAAGCAATTGGGAAGTGAGTGTGACCAGGTCAGGTTTACCCGTTATAGATAAAGTCTCAACACTTACTCCGAGTTGATCTTATCAGGTGTAATCAGATAATATAAAAATGTTTTCCTGCCAATCGCTTGATCGATTTTAATAAAGCTGTAAACTACTCGATTAGTTTAGATGTCTGTTTTGATTGAATGCGGCTGTTAGCGTCCCTTGAACCAGAACACCTCTTGTAGATTTTAACCCAACGTAATTGGAGAGGATCCAGGCTGACAAACTGTTAAACTATTCCTGCACCTAACTCAAGTAAAACGTAACGGCACGAGAAACATGCACGTGTGCGGCTGTATATTATAAAGCCAGCAGCTAGCGGCGTGATAAAACTGGTGCAGTTTCATGTCAATTGCCACTGATCACACGTCAGGTTATTAATAAGTGTCTGACCGAGCCGTGCATGAGAGATAGCTGTAGAGCTGCTGGACACATTGAATTGAACTGTTCTGGTCTTGTCGTGTACAATTACACTAGACAGCCTTAATAAAAACGTAGTCATGGTCATGCAGTAGTTTCATTCATTGTGACTGCTAGTTCATAACTTCTTATCCCTGAAGTCGGAAGATTTCTGGAAGAATCTATAAAAAGAAAACCTCTACTCGATATAATAATGACTTTTATAATTTTGGGTAGTTTTTAGGGTTATTCATTATGACCAAAACCCATGATTGGGTAGAGTGGACCGCTGCCAGTGTGTCTCTTTCCCAAACAAAAGTAAATGATATTAATTTGAATTACCGTCCGCAAATGCAAAATTATACCGAGGTCCGATTATACAGTTCATTAAAATAAAATGAACCAATGAAAGCCGTTCGATTGGACGAATAAGCTCAGTTCGAGAGATTACGATTGGAGTATTACAGAGCACATGTTTTAACTTATTAAATGTCCTCACCGTTGTAGAAATTATAGTAACGGAATGAGAATAATTATAATTAACTGTCATGGGAATTCGTACAAAGACAACTTGGCAACCACCCATATATTTTTGGTTCAAACAAAAATAGGCATAGCCAACTTGCCAAGAGAAAAAGGTATCATAGTATCAATCGAAGTTTTGTAAAAAGATAGAGATACTGTAATATAAAGCTGTAAGTGAAAGTACTAAACTTTCAAGACAGGACAACTGACAAGGAGTAAAAGATAATCAAAATTCATCACATATTATTACTATTATTAGAATCTGGATTTCTACGTTTAAATTTAATTCCAAAATAATATAATAATAATATGTACTTTAATTAGCAGCAAAAAGTTTCAAAAGTTACAGAAATAGAAAATCAAGCTGCTGTTTTTCCTGCCGGAGATAAAATCAGAAATAACATCGTAAATATAAACAAACTGGGACACTACAGTTAGGTTAATTACTCTTTGCATTTTGTTAGCTGTAACAAATTAGAAGTCTAAAGTTACACTCTCACTAAACACAATATACCCATGTGTTATGTGTTATAGAACCCGTTTTGGTCAGAACAACGTCTCTCCGTGAACTGAATAACGCACAATTACACTTACTAATATGTTTCTGTAACTCCTCCTGTTCTCTTATACAATTTAATTAATTTTAATTAATTTTAATTACACGGTTTAACTTTAAATTTGCATAATTAAATTATTTTTTAAACCGGTCTCACTGTCTGCAGTAGGTGATGCACAATGCGCATTAAACGGTATTGCATTGGGACGAGGTTTTTTAATTTAAACTTTGCTTTTCAGAACTAAAATTTTGTTGTTATACAATGATTTTAAACTCATTTTCCCGTGATTAATGAAATTAAAAGTCCAAAGCTATGTTCTAGAAGGCCCTCAGTGTTTCTTTGGCACGAAAGTGTCGTTAGCTTATTTGTAGGTTTACAACCTACCAGGACGCGCGCCGAGTTGGACCAAATATTTTACGAGTATCACCCGTTAAAAGCTTATAAGCTCTGCTTATATAACAGTGTAGCCGCGTAGGCGGAGTTATCAGCAAGAGTTATAGTGCGGTAAAATGGATTTAGTGCTCAAGCTTGAGTCGTCTATAAGGTTGGAGAAAGTCGCCAGTACCGGTAATAAGGTTGGGGAAAGTCGGCAGTACCGGTAATAAGGTTGGGGAAAGTCGGCAGTACCGGTAATAAGGTTGGGGAAAGTCGGCAGTACCGGTTATAAGGTTGGGGGAAAGTACCGGTAATAAGGTTGGGGAAAGTGGGCAGTACCGATAATAAGGTTGGGGAAAGTCGGCAGTACCGGTAATAAGGTTGGGGAAAGTACCGGTAATAAGGTTGGGGAAAAAACCGGTAATAAGGTTGGGGAAGTGGGCAGTACCGGTAATAAGGTTGGGGAAAGTGGGCAGTACCGGTAATAAGGTTGGGGAAAGTACCGGTAATAAGGTTGGGAAAGTTGGCAGTAACGGTAATAAGATTGGGGAAAGTACCGGTAATAAGGTTGGGGAAAAAACCGGTAATAAGGTATCCCTCACGTGGATCACACTCTATGAGACATAAGTTGGACTAGGAATGAAGGTAATAGTAGAGGACATGATGTTATTGTTTGATACTAAAACTATTGTACAGCTTCAAGTTCATGGGCATTCGGCTTTTATTAATATTTCAGCATGCGAGCTTGTTTTCCCACGTCAATGAGATCTGATAATAATTACTTTAGCGACTATTTAATTACCCGATGACTTGAGGCTTCGTTATTAAACCTACTGAAGATAAATTGTTGCGAGAGAAGCTGCGTTACCAGTAAGCTAGTTACTTCTTTTACACGGCCCACCCCTGAGTTCTGCAGAGCAAAACACTATAAATACTCACGTATAAAACAGCTTGAAATTAATTCATATGAATTACATACGTCAAACCAACATGATCATACCACTTCCACAATCCACATAATATATATGTCACGAATCGAATTTTAACCAAAAACTGCATCAAAGGTATGGATCTACCTACTTTGATTTTATCCTTATAACTAAAATTTGACCAAAACCCATAATCATGGGTAGAATGAACCGCTGCCAGTGTCTCTCTTTTCCAAACAATAGGAAATGATATTAATTTGATTGACCGTTTTCAAATGCAAAATGATACCGAGAATAAAATCGGTCGCTCGCTTTTCCCATTCATTCACGGCTTACGAATTATAATAGGTTTCGATTAATTACATCGATCACATGCTGTAAAAATCTTTTTGGTTTGCGTTCGGTCGATACCCAGTATTTCGGGATAAGGGTGGTAGTTAGTGAATTAGCCGAAGTTTATTGAATATTTATTAGTTTATTGCCGAGTACAGCTGTCTTTGGGTAGTTCTTCTTAATCTATTACAATAATTGTAAATGAATGGGAAAAGCGAGCGACCGATTTCATTCTCGGTATCATTGTGCATTCTAGAACAGTCAATCAAATTAATATCATTTCCTTTTGTTTGGGAAAGAGAGACACTGGCAGCGGTCCACTCTACCCATGATGGCATGATTATGGGTTTTGTCAAATATCTTCTCTTTTTGATTATAATGTCAGGATAATTTACTAAGTCGAAATGTAAACTCATAACTTCATTAATTTAGGAGGTTTTTTCAACGATTTCAAAACTTAACCTTTGAAAACATTTCCTTGTGTTTAGGTAGGCATATCTGTCGATAACTGACTGAATATTGCACTTTTTACTGAATCAAGTTGGCATTAAATTTATATATAATGCCATCTAAATGAAGTGGGAAAGCAGAATTTATTCGAAATCACGAATGAGCGAATTTCTCACCTTTCGCACGTGCAAACTTTGAGCGGACGTTGCGTGCGCATACAAAATTGAATCACCGTAAATGTTTGCATGCTGGTGTTTTATATATTTGTTATTAAGCATGCAAAGATTCAAAAGATTTCAAGGAGAACTGCAATCACAACGGCAAACTAAAGTTTACAGAAAATGGTAAAAACAGCAATTGGGCGTGTCCCCACGTGTGCAACTGTTCGATTTTCAAATTTAAAACTAGCCTTATGCACAAGTTATACCTATAGGAAGCAGAACTGAGCTCCACAACCCAACATAGCCCAACACTGCAGAGAATACTAAATCGCAAAATTGACGTTTTTATAAAATAATTCTTCAAAAAAGCACTAAATTCAATGACAATAGCAAATATCTTTATGAAGGAGCAAGGTAGGGAAACTTTCCGGTAGATTTTCGGAATGCTTAAACAATTATTCAACCTGAAAATTTCCTCAGATTTTGAATAAAATTACTCCTTAATGGTGTAAAATCAGTTTGAAAATTTGTTATTTTGTCAAAAATCAAGTTTTAAAAACACTTAATTTGATGACGTCATCAAGTGGTGATGATATGACGTTAAAATATTTTTTTATGATATAATGGAAACTGAAGTGTAAACAATTATCTTTAAGATCGTGGGTCGGAAATTGCTGCATCTTTTATTGTAGGTTTACAACCTACCAGGACGCGCGCCAAGTTGGACTCGTCGACGGTCCTGTCCAATATATGGAACAGATATTTTACGAGTATCACCCGTTAACATCTTTTATAGGTACGAATCTACAAACACCTGAATGTAGCCTATATAATTGACTGGCAAAGCGTCTATCCCTGAATAGTGAATATTATGTATATATTATTAATATTATCAATAGACAGTTTTTTGGGTTTTCCAAATAGTTTCTGATTATTCTGATTTGCGACAAATGATATTGCACTGTTAGGATAAACGACGTTTCAAAGTAACAACTTCTTATTCATGCTGACAAAATTGGTAAATATGTGAGAAAACTGTCTCATAAAATTTATTAATCAAAAATGGCTAAACGACAACAAATTGTTCAAATACTCGACTAAAATTAGAATCAAAATCTATATATATACACCACACCTCGATCTGCTATTCAATAAACTTAAAACATCCACTGAACAGCAAGTACGTGATTGTGATCGTGTGATGGAATGACATGTACAGTGATACCAGATGATAAGATGTAAGTGATAACAGATGATAAGGTAAAAGATACAATACATGTGAGATGGTGTATACACAATGTGAGTGAAAATATAGTGAGTGGTTACTGATTGTGAGCGAGATGTGAAAAAACATTAAAACTTACTACTGCTAGAAAACTGAAACTGTATGCAATAAAAAGGGAATGAAACTAAAATATCTAAAATTCTTCAGTACTAGCTATGATAAAACGTTTAATAGTATCCAGTTCTTCTCTCTTGTTAATTGTAGGGTTCAAATTAATAATAAACATCGCTTCGAAAATCTTTCTTCTGACAGTATTGGGCTCAATTCTTAAAATATCTACTTCTAAACTGGGATTTAACCCCTCATGACAGCTCGAATAATGTATGGCAAAAGCTTGACTAACATTAGAAGGGGTAGCAGGGTAGGTAGCGTAACGTAAGTGTTCTCCTACACGAGCATGTACTTTCCTACTGGTTTCTCCAACGTACAGCTGGTCACATAATTTACACTTAATCTTATATACAACATTCTTCACTTCACAATCTTTATTACAAACTATCAAAGGACAAATTTTACATGAATTAATACTGCACACACGTTTATCATACGGTCTGTTACTACATAAAATATTTCTCAATTTCGAAGTAGGTTTAAAGTTTACTTTAATAGGTAAATTGTTCTGCTTTACATAATTTCTAATCTTATTGCTAGTACTGTCCGAAATAAAATCTAAATTAAGAACTGTCCTGGAATCATCCTCAACACTCTGACGCCTGTTAGAATTACTACTGTTACAATAACGTCTTGGGTTCTGGTAACCGTTTTTCTGTAATAGATCATCAAGGAGTCTGAGAGAGTGCTCCTTTTCCGCTGGGCCAGATGAGATACGGCAAGCCTCGCTATATAGGTTCTTCACTGTATTAATCTTAACAGACTCAGGATGGCAAGAGTTGTTGTGCAGGGTAATATCCTTTTGTTGCGGCTTGCGGTACAATCTGCTGGTTAATTCACCGTTTGGCTCGATCCGGACCTCAGTGTTCAGGAAGGGGATAAAATCGTCCTGTTGTTCTGGAAAGTCGACCTCCCACTTCAACTTTTTGTCCGGATCTTGGTCTGCAATCTGTTGAACCAGAGCAAGGGCTTCTTCTTTCGTCTCTGCAGTACTGGCAGCATCATCTATGTAGCGTTTGTAGAAGTTCGATAAGTATACCGATAGGTAGTGTCGATCGGTGTAGATAGAGTTCTTCTCGAACTTGTACACTCTAATGATGGCACAGAAGGGCCCTGGCCTCAAACCCATGAACAGACCATCCTGCTGTAGCCAGAGAGTCCTGTTATACACAAAGAAAGAGTTGGTAAGGATGTGTAGTAGGATCTCATGAATGTCTGTCAGGCTGAGTCCCATCAGGTCCAAACTGTCTCGGTGCTCTGTAGCTAGCTCAATGACATCGTCTATACAGCCCTGTACGTTTATGTTAGTGTATAAAGCTGAAATATCCGCGGCAAAGAACTTTCTCCTGGCAAGCTGTTCCTGAGAGATCTGGCGGAGCATCTCTATGTGCTGGATTAAATTACTCAGGTGACTAGGCACCTCATTAAGGAGAGGTTTAAGAATGGTCGTCACTAGCCAACTGAGTCTCTCTGTAGGTGAGTCCACGCAGCTGATGATGGGTCTAACCTTAACCTGCTCAAGAGGGATCGTCGAGCGGAAGCTCTCCGGAGGGTTCTTGTGGGTCTTGATTTGGACGTACATGACTGGGAGGCTGACATGGTCAGGAACTCTGATCCGTCGCTTGTAGTCGTCGTCAAGGTTCCGCTGTGATGAGATCTTCTTCCACAGGTTATTCGACTCCTTCACCAGGTTCTCCGTCTTCTTCTTGATGAGCTGTGTGAGCTGTTGAGAGGTGGGTTCCGCTACTGAGACAGTTTTACCGTTGATTTTTCTCGTGGGAAGCACACGCTGGTACACAGCTGTCTCCTGGAGGTGATTCTCTGTTAGATGCCGATGTGTGTCCTTAGTTGTCACCACAAACTCACCGCACTTGTCTGATACCGACACGTGTAACGTCCTGTCTGTCAGAAGGGAGCGTAAACCATCTTTCTGAAAACGAGTGAGGTTATCCTGTGGGTTGGTGTTAGTCACGAGGTCCTGTACAAAGCGGTTAAACTGTGCCAGCTTGTCCTCTAAAACCGGGTGAGTGGGGTCAGGTGTACTGGTGAATGGTGAGGGAAAGGGACACAATCTCCTCACTTTGCTGGAACTCGACTCCTCGGTGGGCTCAATCGGGGCACTAACTTCCGCACTAGTGTCTGAGTTGGCACGTTGAGTGATAGCGTGTTTGTGTCTGATCTTAAACACACACTGAGCGATATCAACGGCAACTTTATCCTTGAATGACTGGTCAATTCGCGGAGACACGGCGAAGTTAGGTCCGAGAGCTAAAACTGACTTCTGCTGCTCGGAGACACTGTCGATGTTGAGAGTAGTGACTCTATCGTCAGCAGGTTGAGTAGTGGATGGAGGAGGAGGAGGAGTAGGAGGGTAGTATTTCTCCAACAACCAAGAAAACTTCTTCTGTAAACGGTCCTTATAATGCTGCTTAACATAACGCTGGTGTTCCTCGCAAATAGTAGCAATACTGATGAAAGTAGAGTGGTCCACTTTATGAAATAAACTGTCCTTCAACTGTAATAAATCACGTTTTCTGTCTGCAATAAACTGATACTGATATGATATGTGCTGTTGCAATGATAATGTTCTTATTCTGTGCTGATAACGTGTTACACTGCCAGAATTCTGCCTCATCGGAAACAATGATGACTGATTAAACGTAGTACTGTTCAACATAAATACAGGAAAAACTTGCTGTCGTTTACAGCGTTTGAAAAAATTCAACTTCTGTTCTGAAATTTTGAGTTTTTCTGCTGTAGCAATGAAAGTTTTGGCAGTTCCAAAGTTCTCCCGAGAAAGAGTAAGGTTACAAAGATTACGGACTGGAACATTATTTATTAGTCGCATTATAACAATAGACAGTTTTTGGGTTTTGCAAATAGTTTCTGATTATTCTGATTTGCGACAAATGATATTGCACTGTTAGGATAAACGACGTTTCAAAGTAACAACTTCTTATTCATGCTGACAAAATTGGTAAATTAATATTATCAATATGTATCACGACAATCTATCGTAAAACAGGGGTTCCAGAAAACCCACTTCCCGATAATCCTGAAACACGAAATTAGGGCGTCTACTTCTAGTTCTAGTTTAGACGCCCTGCAAAGTTTCGGATTTCTGACTCAATTTTAACATGCTTTTTAAGGCACCTGAATATGGCGATTTTGGGTTTTTTACCAAATTTCGTATTTAAACTATTTGACCAAAACCCATAATCATGGGTAGAGTGTACCGCTGCCAGTGTCTCTCTTTTCCAAACAAAAGGAAATGATATTAATTTGAGGAACAGTCCGCTAATGCAAATTGATACCGAGAATGAAATCGGTCGCTCGCTTTTTCAAATCGATAAGCTTTATTACAATTCGTGAGCCGTGATCGAATGGAAAAAGCGAGCGACCGATTTCATTCTCGGTATCAATTTGCATTAGCGGACTGTTCCTCAAATTAATATCATTTCCTTTTGTTTGGAAAAGAGAGACACTGGCAGCGGTACACTCTACCCATGATTATGGGTTTTGGTCAAATATCATCTCTTTTTGATTATAATGTCAGGATAATTTACACAGCTAGTCGAAACTTCATTAACAAGGAGGTAATTTCGACGATTTCGAAATTCTGCCTTTGAAAACGTTTCCTTGTGTTTAGTTAGGTATATCTGTCGATAACCGACTCAATATGGCACTTTTTACTCATTCAAGTTGGCATTAAATTCATATATAATGCCATTTAAATATCGTGGAAAGCAGAATATATTCGAAATCACGAATGAGCAAAATTCTCACCTTTCGCACGTGCAAACTTTGAGCGGACGTTGCGTGCGCATACAATATTGAATCACCGTAAATTTTTGCATAGTGATATTTAATATATAGTTTGATAAGCATGCAAAGTTTCAGAAGATTTCAAAAAGAACTTGGATCACAACGGGACTCCAAAGTTGATAAAAATCGTGAAAATCAAAATTTTTAGTGATTTTAGCTATTTTAAATCAATTTGGGCGTGTCCCCACGTGTGCAACTTTTCGATTTTTAACTTTAAAACTAGCCTATAACACAATTTACACCTTTAAGAAGCAAAATTGAGCTCCACAACCCAAGGGATAGCCCAACACCAGAGAATACTAATTCACAACTTTTGTGTTTTTATAAAATTATTCTTCAAAAAAGCACTAACTTCAATAGCAAATATCTTTATGAAGGAGTAAGGTAGGAAACTTTTCCGGTAGATTTTTAGAATGCTTGAACAATTATCTAAGATGAAAATGTCCTCAGATTTTGAATAAAATTACTCTTTAATGGTGTAAAATCGATTTGAAAAGTTGTTGTTTTGTCAAAAATCAAGTTTTAAAAACACTTAAATTGATGACGTCATCAAGTGATGATGATGATGATAAATTATTTTTCAATATAAAGTAAAGTAAAGTATAAACGATTATCTTTAAAACCTGTGGTTCGAAATGACTGTATCTTTTATACTTTTGAATCTACGGACACTTAAATGTAGGCTACAATTGACTGCAAAAAGCGTCTATACATATTATTATTATATATCTTCACGACAATCTGTTGTAAAACAGGGGTTCCAGAAAACCCACTTCCCGATACTCCTGAAACATGAAATTTTTTTTACTGTCGACTTGGGCAAGGTCTAGACGCCCTGCAAAGTTTCAGATCTCTAACTCAATTTTAACATGGTTTTTAAGGCACCTGAATATGGCGATTTTGGGTTTTTTACCTAATTTCGTATAACATGCTGGCGCGTATTTTGCGCAAATTTCTTAAAAACCTCCATATAACTATTTCTTATTCCTGTCATCTTTAACATTGAATTAGAATGTTTTGAACTTAAATGTACCTGCTGAACTACTTTCGAAAAAGTCTTAATGCCTGGAAAACAATAAAGGGGATATAATAGTATAGGGGGTAAATAGTATTGTGAATATAAGGGCGACGGTAATGCTTGCCAGCATTGTGATAACATGCTGGCGCGTATTTTGCGCAAATTTCTTAAAAACCTCCACATAACTATTTCTTATTCCTGTCATCTTTAATATTGAATTAGAATTATTTGAATTTAAATATACCTGTTGAACTAATTTCGCTGATTCTTAATGCCTAAAAAACAATAAAGAGGTATTAAAGTAAAGGGGGTAAATAATAAAGGGGGTAAATAGTAAAGGGGGTAAATAGTATTGTGAATATAAGAGGCAAAGTCATGGCATGCCAGCATTGTGATTTTCAAGTTCAACACTAAGCACTGAACTGTTCATGATATAATAGTTAACTTAATAACCGCTTTAAACCGAATAGTTGGGGCGTTCTGAATTATAGTTTCTGGGAATTAATTTCCCATGAGCAAATTCTGTGCAGAAATCTGTCACCCGTATAGTCGTCGACGGTATTTACGAGTATCACCCGTTAAATATAAAACTATTTGGGAACTATAAATTTGTTCCAAGCATTTTTATGCAGGAATTATATGTGGTCCATTATATTCCCAGGAACCAGCACAGGCACAAAGAGTTGCGAAAGTAAATCTGATGGGCACATTACACAACTATTTAACTAACGTCGAGACTAAACATTCAACTTTTTAAGCAAAAACGGAGGTATGGTTATGTCCTGGTTGTGATGTCGGGATTCTAGTCTATGACCGAATCACGGCTTATGAATTGTAATAAGTTTCGAATAATTGCATCAATCACATGCTGTAAAAATCTTTTTGGGTTGCTTTAATTTCGGGTCGATACCTATATTATTATTTCTTTTTATAGTATTTCGGGATAAGGGCGGTATAGTTAGTGTCCAATTAGCTGATCTTTCATTATTGAATTTTTATTGCCGAGTACAGCTACTTTCAGGTAGTTCTTGTTAATTTATTACAATTGTAATTTTAATTGTAAATGAATGGGAAAAGCGAGCGACCGATTTCATTCTCGATATCATTTTGCATTTGCACTTGCAGACGGTGATTCAAATTAATATCAGTTACTTTTGTTTGGGAAAGAGAGACACTGTACTGGCAGCGGTCCACTCTACCCATGATTATGGGTTTTGGTCAAATATCATCTTTTTTGATTAATGTCAGGTTACTTTACAAAGTCGAAATGTAAACTCATAACTTCATTAATATTAATAAGGAGGTAATTACAACAATTTCGAAATTTAACCTTTGAAAACATTTCCTTGTGTCTAGGTAGGCATATCTGTCGATAACTGACTGAATAAAGCACTTTTTACTCATTCAAGTTGGCATTAGATTCATATATACTGCCATTTAAATGTCATGGGAAAGCAAAATTTATTCAAAATAACGAATGAGCAAAATTATCACCTTGGCCTTTCGCACGTGCAAACTTTAAGCGTACGTTGCGTGCGCCTCCAACTTTGAAAAACCGTAAATTTTTCCATAATGGTCTTTTATATATAGTTTGATAAGCGTGCAAAGTTTCAAAAGATATCAAAAAACCTTAGATCACAACGGAACTCCAAAGTTGATAAAAATTGTTAAAACACCAATTTTCAGTGATTTTAGCAATTTTGGGCGTGTCCTCACGTGTGCAACTTTTTGATTTTCAACTTTAAAACTAGCCTATGACACAATTTAGACTTTTAGGAAGCAAAATTGAGCTCCACAAACCAAGGGATGGCCCAATATCAGAGAATACTATATGGATCGGAAAGCTGAACAAACCCGGTGCTCGTCCTCCAAATACGAACTCTCTGCTGTGCTGGTGCAACGAGCGAGACTTTACTTTGGGGTGGTCAGAAGATGGCCTCGTCAAGTCTTGACGAAACTCGACATAGGTCAGATAGGTAGGTCACAAGTGGGTCACAAGTAGGTCACATATAGGTAAGTCACAAGTCACGTGCCTGCGTGGTACAGGTGAGTCACGTGCCTGGTGGTACAGGTTAGTCACGTGCCTGGTGGTACAGGTAAGTCACGTGCCTGGTGGTACAGGTAAGTCACGTGCCTGGTGGTACAGGTAAGTCACGTGCCTGGTGGTACAGGTAAGTCACGTGCCTGGTGGTACAGGTGAGTCACGTGCCTGGTGGTACTGGTATTTGTGTGACTCTGAGAAGTTTGGGGTTCAGAGTGCACAAGCAGTAAGCAAGTCATTATTTTGTAAAATTACTGATTCCGACTAAGTTTGGCAACGATATCGGTAACTAAATAACACTGCTGTCCCAACAACTCTAGAGTCTAGCACTCTTGAGATTGTTTACTGTTGTCCCACTCCCAACAACTCTAGAGTCTAGCACTATTTAGATTGTCTACTGTTGTCCCACTCCCAACAACTCTAGAGTCTAGCACTATTTAGATTGTCTACTGTTGTCCCACTCCAAACAACTCTAGAGTCTAGCACTATTTAGATTATCTACTGTTGTCTCACTCCCAACAACTCTAGAGTCTAGCACTCTTGAGATTGTCTACTGTTGTCCCACTCCCAACAACTCTAGAGTCTAGCACTATTTAGATTGTCTACTGGTGTCTCACTCCCAACAACTCTAGAGTCTAGCACTCTTGAGATTGTCTACTGCTGTCTCACTCCAAACAACTCTAGAGTCTAGCACTCTTGAGATTGTCTACTGCTGTCCCACTCCCAACAACTCTAGAGTCTAGCACTCTTGAGATTGTCTACTGCTGTCCCACTCCCAACAACTCTAGAGTCTAGCACTCTTGAGATTGTCTACTGCTGTCCCACTCTCAACAACTCTAGAGTCTAGCACTCTTGAAATTGTCTACTGCTGTCTCACTCCCAACAACTCTAGAGTCTAGCACTCTTGAGATTGTCTACTGCTGTCCCACTCTCAACAACTCTAGAGTCGAGCACTATTTAGATTGTCTACTGCTGTCCCACTCCCAACAACAACTCTAGAGTCTAGCACTATTTAGATTGTCTACTGCTGTCCCACTCCCAACAACTCTAGAGTCTAGCACTCTTGAGATTGTCTACTGCTGTCCCACTCCCAACAACTCTTGAGTCTAGCACTCTTGAGATTGTCTACTGTTGTCCCACTCCCAACAACTCTAGAGTCTAGCACTCTTGAGATTGTCTACTATTGTCCCACTCCCAACAACTCTAGAGTCTAGCACTCTTGAGATTGTCTACTGCTGTCCCACTCCCAACAACTCTAGAGTCGAGCACTATTTAGATTGTCTACTGCTGTCCCACTCTCAACAACTCTAGAGTCTAGCACTCTTGAGATTGTCTACTGCTGTCCCACTCTCAACAACTCTAGAGTCTAGCACTCTTGAGATTGTCTACTGCTGTCCCACTCCCAACAACTCTAGAGTCTAGCACTCTTGAGATTGTCTACTGCTGTCCCACTCCCAACAACTCTAGAGTCTAGCATTATTTAGATTGTCTACTGCTGTCCCACTCCCAACGACTCTACGGTAGGACATATTCGAATTTCAGCTCTTCGCGACCCAAATTTCACTGTTTTGACTGAATTTTTCTTGAATGACCATCCTACAGGATCACTGAGGATGGCACAAGACACGATTGAGGTACTCAAAGTTCTATTCTCAAAGGAAGCTTTGATAAACAGAAAATCATCAGAATATAAAAAGAGATTTTTGAAGATTTTTGAAGAGAAGCTTTTCTGCCGTCCCCTTGACCGACATTTCGCAGTTTTTACCGAAATTTTGACCAGTGACCAATCTAATGAGTGAGGTCGGTGAAAGTGACACGAGTCGCCATTTAGGTACTGGAAGCAGTTTATCCGGAGAAAACTCTGATGCAATGAAAATTTGTAATATGTCCTATAATTATATACTGGGATCTAGCGCTTTTGAGATTGTCTACTTCTGTCCCACTCCTAACAACTCCTGAGTGTTTTAAAGTCTCAATACTCCTGTGTCAGCTCACTATGAGCTTAGTAACAACACTACATCTTGTACTCTTTTATTTTGTGTACACTCCTTGTCTCTTGTTTGCTTTGAAAAGGTTTCAACAGCTCTACCGTAAATCATATTTCGAATTCAGTTTTCTGATCGAGACGGAACTCTCAACGCATCAACTGTATTATTTTGTTCTGTTAAGATTTGTTCCGGTTCAGCTACCTTTATTGCGAAGAACTGGAAGGAAAAATAGCAAACAAATAAAGGCTCCCTCATACGTTTGAGAACATACTGCGATACTCCTGGCATTTCGAACGCATTTCAATCTGAAGTCTGAACTGGGACACAAAATAATAGAAGGCATATTCTGAACCCGATCAGCTCCCTCAAGTAAAGTTTGGTCCGTCAATAAATATGACGTACGTTCGCAGTCAGGGCTTCAGAAGCATTTGGGTTAAACTAATCGTGTTTGTGGTGATGGTTGGCATTCCTGTGGTCTCCTTCTTCTTCGTCAATCAGTACAGAGGTAGGTACGGTGTTTAAAGGCTGGAGGTGAGGTAGATTATAAATTGAAATGGGAGGGAGGGAGAGGGAGGGGGAGCGAAAGGGGAGCGAGAGAGGGAGAGGGAGGAGAGTGAGAGGGAGGGAGAGAGGGAGGGGGAAGGAGAGCGAGAGGGAGGGAGGGAGAGAGGGAGAAGGAGGAGGGAGAGAGGGAGAGGGAGGGGGAGAGGGAGAGGAAGCGAGAGGGAGGGTCAGGGAGAGAAGGAGAGGGAGGGAGAGTCAGAGAGGGAGAGAGGGAGAGAGGGAGAAAGTGAATAAGAAAGTTAGAAAGGAGTTGTAAATGTAGAGGGGCTGGATTCTGGAAGCCAGAAGGGCGGAAAAGTTTGAGAAGAGGGATAGTGATAGTCGTCACTTTTAACCACGGCACATCATTTCACTCATCAGGATAATAAAAATGTTAAAATAAATACTTACAACGTTACGCAACCATACAATTAATAGACAATTCACAGCGTATTCCACTTTAATTTACTGTTAGTGTTACATTTCTTAGGTACAGGATACAGAGGGAGGGGGAGCGAGAGGGAGGGAGCGAGATGGAGGGGGAGCGAGAGGGAGGGAGATAGTCGTATAATTTACTTCTACATTTCTTAGGTACAGGATACAAAGGCTGGCGGTATCTGGACACTCTTGGTGATCCATCTTTTGCTCTTGATCGACAGTATCATGTTCCCATTTGGTATGCAGTGTTGGCCATCTATGGCATGGCAACATATGTTTTATGGTAAGTGAATGTGTATTTCTTGTGGAATTAAAATTTTGTTGACTCTAAGGTTTTAGAAGGTAATCGAAACTAGGTGATGAGAAAACTGCAAACTGAGAAAATGTATCAAACACTTCCAGTGTGAGATACATTTTAAATTTAACTACATTTTCTTTACTACAATTTGGTCAAATGGCACAATTGGCACAGTGCCAATTTCCTTTCCAGAATCCAGTAGACGGTATTCATTATCAACATCAAAGGTGAGATCTGCATTACCAACGTAGCATCGTGTACCAATATGCTGAAACATACAAGACTTGAAACCCTACACTCCACAGGTACACAAACGGGCTAGTCCACAGCATAGGCCCTCTGATGGTGAGCTCTGTCAAGCTGCTGGTGGCGCTCATGTGGTTCCCAGTGTTCTTCTACTGGGAGGATATAGAGGCTACTTTTACCCTGTCTGCTGTGCTGTGGGTGGTGAATGGGATAACCATGGTGTTTTATGCAGGTTTGAGAACGGTGGTTCGTGATTTGGCGAACGGCCAAGATCACGTCATCATCGTTAAGAATAAGTAGAAAGTACTAGTATAAGTAGTAATAGTATATACTATATACTATAATTATAGTAGGGTAAAGTATTATGTGGTACAGTCAGCCACGTTATGAATACTACTTCAAATCGTTAGTTTATCACTCCTATAGGAAGTAGGAACGTATTGGTATAACCAAGTACAGAATGGTAGCTAGTTTAACCAGAGTAAAGAGTTGCAGAACTACCTGTTTAGTTTTAAACTTCGACCCAACCCTCTTATTAACAGTACATTAACTCATAGCAAACGTAATAAACTAGTACAATGATATTAAAGAGAGTTGTTTATCAGTCAGAGGAGGTTCACTATCCACCATTTCAAACCCCTCCTCCCCAACTGGCATGTGCCTGATATCCCTCTCCTCACCCCTCACTCCTCTCCTCCCTCTCCCCAACTGGCATGTGCCTGATATCCTCCTCCCCTCCTCTCCTCCCCCTCTCCTCCCCCTCCCCAACTGGCATGTGCCTGATATCCCCCTCCTCACCCCTCCCTCCTCTTCTCCCCCTCCCCAACTGGCATGTGCCTGATATCCTCCTCCCCTCTCCCTCCTCTCCTCCCCCTCCCCAACTGGCATGTGCCTGATATCCTCCTCCCCTCCTCTCCTCCCCCTCCCCTCCCTCTCCCCAACTGTCATGTGCCTGACATCCTCCTCACCTCTCCCTCCTCTCCTCCCCCTCCCCAACTGGCATTTGCCTGATATCCCCCTCCGCTCACTCCTCTCCTCCCTCTCCCCTCCCTCTCCCCAACTGGCATTTGCCTGATATCCCCCTCCCCTCCGTCCTCTCCTCCCCGGCCTCCCCTCCCTCTCCCCAACTGTCATGTGCCTGATATCCCTTTCCTCACCCCTCCCTCCTCTCCTCCCCCTCCCCAACTGGCATTTGCCTGATATCCCCCTCCCCTCCCTCTCCCCAACTGGCATGTGCCTGATATCCCTCTCCTCAGTCCTCACCCCTCCCTCCTCTCCTCAGGAATGTTCCAGATGAGTGGGATGATGCTGATACCTGAACAAATTTGGCTGTCCTACATAACAGTCTGGACATACTTCTTGTGGGACTATGATGGTGATGATAGCACATGAAGAACCATCAGTGGAATTGAGATATCAGCAGCTATCAGATGGAATATCCAAAAACTGCTGAAGTGAATGAATGTGCTATTTATTAACAATTTCTGAATATCAGACCAAACTTTTAATCTATTAATTTAAACTTTGATTCTTGTTCAATAAAATCGTTGGTATCATGGATTTTAATAAGGAACAATCGAGAAACCTTTTTGTCTTCTTTTTTTAAAGCATGGGGCATTCGGTTGTATTTACGAAATCACCGTGTACGAATGACATTTTGGGCGGAAATATTTCGCTCAAACTCTTTTGTTTGCAGTGAAATGTTAGGAGGCCACACTAATATTTTAAAACAATCACTGTCAAACCATTCAACGACAAGACACGAAAACTGTTGTTTTCATGGCACGTGGATTTAAACCATGAAGAAGAATAGATAAGCTGTCCCCATTTCATCCTACCAGACAACCCCAAACAAAGCAGAACCACCACGTGACCCAGTTTCCACCCTCAGTGCCAGGCTCCTTCCTCCCAGTACCAGGGGACTTCCTCCTCTTTTCCACTTATTACTCAACACCATGGTGCACTGTAGAGCACATGCGCAGTACTCCCCCTCAGGGCCCCACATCCCCTTATATTGCGCCTTATTAATTTGAACTGGGCCCATGTGGATCAAACCTCTGTTCACCTAGTTAACATGTAGTCGAGCCTTATATCTATTGTATTCACGTGCAACCAGAGTAGAACACTAGTTATCAATAACGGTGGAACATTAGTTCCTTAGTTTTTGTTACGGTTCATGTCCCTCACTATAAATGTATGCGGAGTGTGGAGTCAATGAGGCATGTGGGTTTACACACCACCAATGTGGCATGTGGACCACAGTGGTAACCATGACCACGGTGGTACCGTTCACGTGCTACTACCCTGGTGGGTTTAGACAATTAGAAGATGACTGTACCGTGAGAATAACCTCAACATTCAAACTTACTTAATTCGGGGTTTAATCTTACATCAGTGGATGTTTACCAGCCTGTCTGTTGAGGGCCCGAACTGCACCCTCTAAATTAAATACACGAAATAACACGCACTATACCCACTGTACTTTACACTATAATAATCCCCCGAGTATATAGCACTAAAATACTCTTTCTATAAAAGGAGGGTTTATTTTAAGAGATAGCGGGGACATGACTACTGATAAGCGGGTAAAGTGATGATTGATAGGACTGATATCTCTGTGTAAAAAGGCGGGGATGGCACCGTGCTTGATGACGGTTTTTGCCGAACTTTTTGACGATAAGAAAGTGCGATGTAGTGGCTGACTGGTGGGTAATGTTGACAGGGTGCTGGTGTAAAGGTGACGGTTACTAAGGGCTGCTGGTCTAAGTGTCAGGAGTAATGCGGTCTCTGACAAGGTGCTGTTTGTGGCGGGGTTTTAGCAGGCCATCTGTTGAAAACACTGATCTATGTTAATCTCTGATGTAATCGAAGGTTTGGAGATAAAATTGAGGCATATTTCCTGGCTCTGGTGGGTGGTAAGCTCTCTGTAAAAATGTGGTGACGGTTCTCTAATGTATAGAGCTGGTGGTAACAATATGTAAACAGGATGTAAATAAATATACAAACCACAAATAATTTACGTTACATTATAAATAAAATTGGTTAAATATATAAATCATTCGTCCAATTTGAATTATCATGTTCTGTAAAAAAAGAAAAAAGTTGATAGCATCAGTACCCTTGTTCAAATTGAACAGACAAATATCAAATACTCTAGCTTTTGAATCAAACTAAAATATTTGATCAAATAATCCCAGAACTATATAAACCAAACTTCAGCTGCTCGTTTAAAAGTTGTCCAGGGAGGGAACTTTGTCCGGATGAGAGAAAGTTAAACCATCTAACCCAGGAAATTCGATTAGTTTTAACCTTGTCAGTGGTTTGCGGGTTCATAAAGACATGGGTTATTAGATCTTCACAATTTATTGGGTCTCAAAAGAGCAATGTGATCTCAGAGCAGTTTCTTAAATTGAATTTGTGACAATTGTCATAAACCACGGGGTAATTTTAATGGGTTAAAACTTGCAATCAGTCCGAATTTAAGACCAAGATTTCGAAATATTTTGACGTACAAGTACTCATACAGTGCCTTTCTTGATAAAATATGGTAAGATCTGATAACTTCTGATGCAAGCTTCACCGGAAAAACTGTTTTAACAAATATCTATTAAACGTTTTAAACAAACATAAAACATAGATAATAGAAATATATAAACCTTGAAGTTCAGCTTAAAGTTCAAAGCTCCATAGTTTAATCACCAAGTTGTAAACATCTTTACAAATTTCTCCCTAATATCTTGTAATTCACGCCCACTCTGTCTCTCCTCGTGCTTGAATAAAGTCCACATAATAAACCAGAAGATACCCAAACTGCCAAGTCCCTTTAGTCAAGTCCACAATCACCCCAAAGTGTCGCAAAATATCTCTATATCTCCAGCAAGCAAATGTGTAATCTCAGCAGTCTTTTTCATAGTAATTTCCACAATAAGACCCCCATGATGGCTGTGTCTCCTGTGTCTCCTTTCACCAAGGTCTCCACAGAGGCAGAGAGTTGAAGGTAGATTGTGGGAGTCTGGTCCTCTCGGATAGCGGCTGTGTCATCAGGTTCATCTGAAGGAAGCAGGTCGTGAGAGGGAGAAGTTGGTAACAAAACAAAGCTAGTACTTTTCAAAATAACATTTTTTTTCAACCAGTTAAGATGAACGTACAGAACGCTCGACACAATATTAAATAGGATTCGAATAACGACAAAGATAAATTGAAGAAGGTAACTCACCAGTTCTTGTCGTGCAGTGAGAGTGCCTGGTTTTGGGATGAATGTGGAGAGTTGTGGTGGTTTGTTGGGGTTAGTCAGCATGGCAAGTCTGGCTTGAAGGGCTGCTTGGATAGCTGGAGACAGCACTCTAGGGAAGCCGGACAGCGGGCTGAGGAGGAGTGTGTTAGGTATTCACAAAGGAACATAAGCTATCAGATTCTCAAAGACGTAGACTCATAACTTTATAATTTTTTTATAGTTTAATCAGCATCAATCAGTAATCTCCGTTAGAAGTATATTTTTATTGCAAAAATGAAATGAAATAAGAAATCACCAATGAAACTTACTTGATCATGACTTGAGGTTTAGGTTTGATGAGTCCGGGAACACGGCCGGGATCTGAGGAAACACTTCCACTAATTGGGGGTGATCCACACACCTGAAGAAAAGACTGTTAGATAAATTAATAACGGTATTTTTGATAACTTAGCTGCTTTCATAACATTTATTTCTTTTAGAATTTTCGTGTTTCCTTTCTCTTAAAGACTGCTGAAGGAAATCCGAGCTAACTTTGTGAACAGCCAACGTACGAGGGCAAAAGAGTAGTTAGCTGTCTACGCGAGCGAGTGACTTTTAATGACCCCGCCATGACATGGCGGCAGGTTTATTGAAATTAAACCACTGTGAGGAACCGTCACCCTGATCTTTAATCGCTTATTAGCGTGAGAAGACCTGAGGTGAGGCTCCTTAATAATAGTCTAGCCCCGTTATTTACCCCAGTCTCGTGGTATTCTTACTCCCAGCCTATTTAATACCATTTTCAAGGGCTAAAACTTGCTGGCGACAATGACTACTCCCAAACCTCTCAACAAAGGCCCCACGCTCCCCCCCCCCCCCCCCCCCCCCCCCACGTATACCACCAGCCACAATATCCAGCAACAATCTCGACCAGATCTGACCCGCACTGCTGTTGAATATTAATCTGTACGGCTGGTTAAGCCCGATCAATACAATTAAAATATCATCAGATGTTATGTGAGATTTTAATAAGCTCAACTCGCTCCCTCCTCGCCAGAGCTCCCTCGATTAACCAATAACCACTGATTATGGGACTTATTAATTTGAGCATACAAAGGCCAAATGTTCGTTAAATATGCGAACATCGCCTAATCAGGCTAGAAAACATGCAGAGGTCGAGACCTAAGTGCACCCGGCGGGGTCGTGTCAGAGAGGGTATTACCCTGGGGGGCCTCTTTTCAAGTGGGTTTAATGAGGATCTGAATAATGATGAATTATGATTAGACTTGAAGTATGTTTGGCCGAGGTGGTATAACTAATAATTATGAGGGGGCTCTATTCTCTCACCAAACCCATGTACAATTATACATGTTGTGTGAAAGTACAGGGTATGATGAGACCATACCCTCTCTGATAACAAATCTCCACAGCCACTCAGTGTCTAAATCCCTGCCACACCATGGCTGCTAACATTGTAGGGTCCTGCAGTCTAGACACATTGATAACACTCTGACGAAACCACCACATGTTATATTCCTAATCAAAGGCCACACTTTCAGTCGAGGGAGCCAATTTCTTTGAAAATGTTGGCTAGTATTTTGGACGGTTCCCTTTAAACCGTAACATAGTAGTGCAGTAGGACAGCAGCTAGACGTGTCCCACTCTGATAACCAGTTACCAGACTGTATTTTAAACCCCGTACCGGCCGGGAAATAGTACTCTCACAGCTCTACCTTAGAACGAGAGTTGAAAGGGTTGAGAGGGTGTTAATGTCGGGGTCACCGTTCCTGTCAAAGAGGGGCGAGGAGAAGAGACTAAAAAGTAGCGTGGTGAAGTGGCCGTGAGAATTGCAGAGGGGGTGGTATAGACTCTTTTAGTGTTGACACACGAGTAGAACAATAGTTTCACGTGTGTTGAATTGGAACCGTTTGCAAACTAACGTCATTATATTCCCGGGAAATGTTAACAAAGTTGCAGTAATGTTAGTAGCGGGGGACTGTGAGACTGTTTAAAATGGAGCTGTTAGAAGTAGGGACCTGTCCGGGATATGAGAGATAGTGAGATACCGCTCAACTGTCCCCCATTGGAATATGGGGTGATGTGATTGGATATGCTCGCCTAGACTGCTACCACTGTGTTTAAAACATGGACTGATAAGAGGAGTTCAGAAATATAAGAAGGGTTCGAGAAGTGTTCAAAGTGACGATATGACCTGGCTTTCATCAGCCCTATCATCAACAATATTTTAAATACCGTTTAAAATTCATGCGCCCTCGTGAGGAGCTTTAAAATGAGGCCTATAAAAACGTTTGTGAGGTTTCACTACAGTGCATAGTGAGGGAAGTTTCCTAGAAAATTTTCAAAACGGCTTTTAAAGTCATGGGAAAAGCTGCCACTAACAGCTAAAAGCTTAGAAAGGTGGCGGAAACTCCTACCAGACGTAAGATTACGTAAGATGAAATCATAAGTTATGAGCACAGAAAATGTTAAAGAAAACTAAGCTCACCTTGAGATGACTGGGAGTTCTAGCACCAGGAGAGCTGGGTGGAGAGGGGTATCCGGGGGAGTGGGGTGGTGTTGCACCACAGGAGACTGGAGACTGGGCCCCTGCTCGGGGTGGTGGGTTCGGAGGGCAGCTCACTGTTGTGAGTCTTGCGATCTGAAGGTCAAATTGTAAAGTGAAAGTGAAAGTGAAAGTGAAAGTGAAAGTGAAAGGTCCGCCCAGACAAACAAATTTCATGAATTTCTGGTGCTATGAGATCTTGTTTAAAACAGATATGAAACACTTCGGTTTATAATAACTTACCAGTTTCTGTCTGGTTCCATCGTCAATAGCAGGTGAAAACATCATCATCTTGGCGACCTCTGAGAGACACTCGGAGTATCCCTTTCGGAAACTCTTTTCTTCTGTGTGTACTGGTCCTAGCCCTTGAACTGAAAACGTAAGTCTGGTTAAAAAAATAGAGAATCCCAATATGAGGAAAGCAGGTAAGTTTCTTTCTTGATCACATAATGATTACATGATTGCAATAATAAAATAAAAAGCCAAACTCACGTTGAGCGGTTCTGGCTCTCTTATCCCTGGCATCCCTTCTCCTCTTGCGCAACTGCTTCAGATGGTTAACAGCCATCTCCAGCACGTCAGCCTTGTCGGTCCTGGCATCAGCGTGGGTGGTGGGCAGGATCTCTCGTAGTGCATCTACACTCGCATTAATACGGGCTCTTCTGCGACGTTCTACCAGTGGTTTGGGGAGTTTGCCAACCTGGGGAGGGGAGGCGGTTAGATTATTTAAATATTTGATAAGACCGTTTAAATTATTGGTCTCCGACCGTTAAAAATACTGGTCTTCAATCTTCTTAAATATTGGTTAAAAGTGATGAAGTGCAAGAATTAAACTGTCGATGACTTCAGCGTTTACTGTGATAAAGCTTACCTTTGGCAAGTTCAGCATAGGTTCCTGTTTGATATCTGGAGCGGCCATATTCAAAGCTGTCTTGTGTCAAAGCTAACGAAAACAAGGTTAGAAAATTGGTATTGAGTAAAAATTTAGTAGAAAGTAGTTCACACTTATTTAGTTCGCACTTGTCTTACTGACATGAAAAAGTACTCTAAATTGACCGAAAAACTTACAAAGTACTGGAAAAAATTACAACAAGCCGGGAGAAACATATTACTCAAGTGGAAAGATAATTAGAACGCGACGTATTAACGGAGGTTGACGTTGACGGAACGCACGTCGAGAGGTTTAACAGTAGCGCTAACCGCAAACTTAAAAGTACACCTTGCCAAATAAGCTAATTAACAATGGCGATCAAGTAATAGCAGCAGCTGTGCTGGTTGTTTAGAAAAACAAATTAATTGCACGACGAGAATAAGCACGACACGGTGATTTGAGTGCAATCCCAGCGCTTCTCTCTCTCTCTCTCTGTTCTGGTCAGCGCTTATCATGCATAACTTATTAATCGAGCGTGGGAAGCGGGGCACCTCTATGTAGTATCAACAAGACACGGCAACCCCTAAAAACTCTGATCAGCTACAGAACTGTGGGATAGCGCTGGGAAAATCCCACGGGTTGCTCCCAGATCATCAGTATTTGACATCATACTACGGAGATATTATCTCGTGAGCATACCAAAACACTCGGAATACCCCAGCATGACATGATGATGTCAGATACTGCAACACGAGTTTAACAAAAGGGCGGGGAAGGATCCGAAACAAAAGGAGAGGTGAGCTGGAGGAACTTGTACTGACTCTAACCGACTGTACTGACTCGTTATCTAACCGTGTTAAAGGAGACTAACTGTGGTACTTTGGGTAGACGTGATATTGCGCGTTACTGGTACTGGTACTAGGTCGGCTCATCACTGCGTGGTATCTAACACACACCAGTTGACTGTGCGTTGCCTGGTAACACGGTGCGTTGCCTGGTAACTGGGAGATACCTGGGAACTGGGAAGGGCTGCCCAATTAGCATGAGGCATCTTTTGTTACCTTGTCATGGTATCGAGTGACACTGATATCCCCTCCAATCTGAGGAGGTAGTGACACTGATATCCACCAATCTGAAGAAGTAGTGACAGGCCTGAGAGAAGGAGAGAGAGATAGAGAGAGATTGCTCTACCTCAGGGCAATTAATCAGGAGTATGGGAACTACTGGTATTAATAACTCACTAATGATGAAGAGAGTTAATGGCAGGTATTTGATGTCATTCTTACCCAGTCAAGGGAGAATGGTGACAAATTGACGTGAGTTTGACAAGCAGCTGATTAGGAAGGTAAACAATCATAATGCTCACTCATTTAGAAGGTTGACTGATTGTTCTGACGTTTGAAGCCGTGATACCCACCATTAATCGGTATCATGACATAAGCAACGTATTTAAAACTAGCTTCAAAGGGAAAAAGATGAGACATAAACAGAATACTCTCAAGCACAGGTAAATAAGACACTTCGTCATCAGAACAACTAATCACGTACTAAACAAGAAGAAGATGCTCCAGTCACGGTTCACACTACCTCTTACTCCCTCTGAGAACACAGTCTGAGATAGCAAGGATCCTATCCTGTTAAACCAATCACCTTCTCCACAAATCACAAGTTTGCTATCAACCCACGTGGTCTGTCCTTGATTGCTGATTGGCTGATATTTAGCCCACGTGACCAATCCCAGTGATCTGATTGGCTGGTCCGTCTGAAGGATAGCTCCTGCACGTGGGCCTGAACAAGGTGCACGTGACACCTTGGAACCTGCAGTGGACAGATAAAAGTCTCGATATCAAGCAGAAGATGAGAACAAGCCGAGACGGTTTAACTGTGTCTGATCATCTAGATCTATATAGCGACATACTACACGGTGTCATGGGAAAGGGACAGGAGGGAGAGGAAATCAGGTACTAAGACTCAGGGCTACCTTCTATAATCACCCGTAAGTGGGGTGAAAATAGCAGAACTGATGAACAATGGCTCTGATCAGCAAGCAACCTAACGGGACTGATTTACAAAGACCGACATGAACTGGCAGCTGCATTATGCATTCCAAGCTTCACTCAATAGCCTAAAACAACGCCGGCACATACATAATCATAAGTAGCACGAATTTAGGGAGTGATACCAGACAATCTGCTCAGAAAACGAGACATTATCCCCAGACATTTCATTATGTCAGCTCAGACGAACGTGTCTGGGAAGCAGAGGAAACAAAACAATAGTCTCACATTTATAATAGAGAGAGAGTAGTAGAGAAGAAGGAGTAGGAGACCTCAATATTACCATTGTACAAACTAAACGGAGACTAAGTTATAGGGGGCACGTGAACGAGGTTAACTTTCATTGATCTTAATTGGGAGGTGAAAAACAGGACACACACCTCAGAGTTAACAAAGCTGCTGGACAATGGGGCCTCAGTAAACAGCATTATAGTATTTGTTACGTTGACTTTACAAACTTCACAGGTCGTGGTTCGTGGTCTTTGAGAAGGGAGAGAGTGGTTTTAGATGAACCTTATAATAAGCGTGGTAAACGAATGAGTAACAGTGGCCGGATCATAACAATGGGCAACTAGTCTACCTGATCAGGTTCACAAGAGGACACCAACTGAAATTAGTTACGTGTGAAAATGGGGGATCACCTTGGGTACTCCCAATATACCGAGCATACCCCCTCAGGGGACTGTCCAATCACAGGGCAGTACTCCGCCCACGTGCTCAGTCAGTGAGCCAACCAGCGGGCTCCCTCAGGGGTGAAAGAAAGAAAAGTCTGTCATTCCCTCCTCTCATCATCCTACGTTAGAAATTAATAGCTTGTCATTAATTGGCCCACGTGGCCCCTGCGTGCAATACCCGGGACTCTCGGGCCCGTGCCATGATTGGATAACAACGGCCACGTGGTGGGAAACCCTACAGTGTGATTGGTTTGGAGAGATCAATTATAGTGTGTGTGGTCGTTTTAACTACCAGTTGTCTGATTGAATTACTCAACAGATCCCGGATATCACTGTTTCGAGCTGACAACAATTGTGTTTCATCCGCTAGAGAAGAGGCCAGGGAGAGAGAGAGAGAGAGAAGAGAGGGTGAAAAGTAAGATTGGGGTGTTAACTGACCTTAACTGGATAACTCTTCCTGGTTAAATGTCTCAGCTGAATTCGCTTGGTTAACTACTCACCCCCATATAAATTAGAGGGGCGACGAGGAGCTGTGAATATTTACCAATTTACACGTTAGGGAAAACAGCCTCCTCTAATCATAAGACCTTAATTAACTGATAGATAACTTAATAAGTTAATAAACAAACTGGTAGCTTGTAGTAATGTAGTATCAGTAGCTAACTGGTGGAGGGAGCTGTATGTCTGTAAGGTGTAGAGTGGCACAACGGCGGGGTCCGGACTCTACCGGCCTATCAGCAACTCGTTAAAGTCTTTACCAGCAAATAGCACCACATTATTTCCGAGAGTAGGACGACAGACATTCCGCAAGTGGGATGATACCAGGTGGCTCGATCAGTCAGAATAGCATCGTGCTTGGTATCTAAGTGCGAGGCCGGCAAATTGTTGACACAAAATGCCAAAAGTGGCCGAGAGAGATGCCAGAAAGTTGACGATGGATGCCAGAAGTAACTGAACGTGCCAGACTAATGCCAAGAACTACAAGAAGTTCGTAAAGTGGCGGATGGAAAACTGACAACAACTCAACCATTGCACAGAATACTTTGTACCTGGTAAAGATCCAGATTCTAGACGGTGGTTTATTGCGGTACTGCGGTTGAAAAGTTGAAAGAATGACAGGCATCTTAATCAGCCAAGAATGCGGATACAAACAATCTGACAAATAATTAATTTTTGATTATGCGGCGACCCCTTAATTGTCAGATGGTACAGCCGCTGGTTAACTCATGGCTTTACAGCTGTTTCTCAGCCACTCAAGGAAGGATGTTTGCGGCCTGATCTGACAGATTGGCTGGAAATAAGGCTGTCACCAGCCAACAAATAATTAACCCAAGAAAGATCGGCAACTCTGCAGTGTGGATTGAATTACTGATCAGCTCGGGTATAAGAAACTGAAACTACGGTCTACAAAAACTGCAAAGCTTAATATTAAACGAAATAAGTCACACAAACAACAAGTCCACCAAACGTCACATTACATAAACTGGGCCGCGACCACGATTAAGAAGTCAAAATCGTCTAGAAGTACTCGAGCTGTATCAAGTCAGCTCACACTTTTTTGGTAAAAATTAGAGGTCAAGTACCAAAAAGGAGCTAAAAGGTTGCAGAGTAGGGCATATTGTGACAGCTCACCCAACTCAAGGTGAAGCCCTGTCGTAAGAACTAGCTGCACAGTGACAAAATCATTGACAAGTCCGCGGGAAACCCGTGAAAGTAGTTAAACACCCCTGCAGACGTTGAACACACGAGATACGAACTATAATCACTTTACAGGGAGCACGTGACCCGCAAACAACAAACGTGCTGCCCCTAGCTAAACCAGTTGCAGCTGACTTTACCACTACTCAGACTGTAAGATCAGGATAGGATCACTCCAGGTCCGGGGTCCCGGGGAGAGAAGCGGGCCACTTGAAAAGAAGAGATGACAATGGATATTATGACGAGGTCGGGGGCCTGGTTAGTGGTGATGAGCTAGCAGTAAGGGATGAAAGGAAAGCCTACAGAGTTAAACAAGTCGCAACATGTTAAAGCAACTCCAGCTCTGGGCAGTGAAGCTCTACCGGTATTCTGACGTAACAACTACAGTATACAGCTCGTGTTTTTGCAGCTGGGTACTACACAGACACACTTACTGAAAGACTGGATCCTGGAGAGGTGGACAGGCAGGGAGACAGAGAGTGATCTCACAGCTTCTCCCTGTTTGGTAGCTCGAAGAATTGCAGTACCAGCCATGTTTTTAGTTTTCAGATATAAAAAGCTTGTTGTTTCAACCGACATGGTTTCGTCCCGCGGCCGCCAATAGATCGGAAAAGTCTTATAAAAGCCGTTTATACAAGTGGGAAA